TCAGACCATATATACCTAGACTGGCACATGAGCAATTTTAATAAAAGCAACACCTAGATGTCATTCAGTTTGTCCTTAGTTCTCTAAAACCTTCACCAGAATTATCACTGCTGCTTCATAAAGGTGAAGGCAGAGGGGCAAATATATTCTTTATACTATCTGGCAGTAATATTCAGATATCTGGCTGATGAAAAAGAAGAACTCTTCTGGGGTCAATTGAGAGCAGTGTCTTAACTTAGCCATATTTAATCACATTTTGGAGGAAGGTATTGATTGCAGATTTAACTGTGCATGCAGAGAGCCTTGGGAGACTACTGCATTCAGCTTAACAGCTTTAGCAGTCCTTGGGTGAGGTTGCATCACATATGGATGTTTGACTGATGATTTTTATTAACTTTTTCCTTCAAATGTGACATTTACTTTTCCTCCAAGAAACAGCCTCTTCATTCTTCTATTCATGCACAAAGATTACACAACATCTTTAAAAACCAAAAAGTACATTCAGTAATTCATACTGCTTATTCTTCCTTGCCATTTCATGCGATTCCCATGACTGTACTTGATAACAGTATTTCCAGTGCACAGAACATTCCTTCACAAAATGTGGGGGCTGATTTTATTTATTTATCCTTTCCTTTATACATTTCCAGAATGTCAACTCTGATATTCTGTATTTTTGTTGAAATTCTTCTTTTGTGGTCTCAGAATTATGGATCACAAGCTTAGTCAGAGCTAGAATTGAGGGTGAAGTTAATCAAATACAAATGTTTATAAACCAGTTTTAAATGCTGCAAACAGAAACATTTTTCCACTTTTCTTCAGAGCCCATTCTGTTCCGTATAAACACATTTATATGGCTGATTCTTCAGGCATCGAAAGATTTTCTGAGTCTTCTTTATGTAAAGGTGTTGGCCAGCGTTAATCGGAAGATTCAGTTCTGTGTGACTCTGCCTAGCTTTCAATTCTCTCCAAGTACATGATGCGGATGTTAATACTCTCCAGAGGGCCCCTTTCATTCTTGTCCATACTGATTGCACAGAAAACCACCATCAAAAGGACTGATCTCAATAGACACAGTGGTGTGAAATCAACTAGAAAAGCTACCGTTTCACTATGAAATGAAGTTTATATCATCAAAAAAAAAAAAAAACAAAGCCACAGTTCCATGAAGGGAGTGAGAATAGTGTAATCAGAAAGACCAGACCAGCTACTCTTCTTATATATGAGCCATAGCTATGAATCATAGAATGGTTTGGGTTGGAAGGGACCTTAAGGATCATCTTGTTCCTGCATGGGGAGGGACACCTTCCACTGGACCAGGTTGCTCAAAGCCCCATCCAACCTGGCCTTGAACACTGCAGGGATGGGGCAGACACAGCTTTCCTGGGCAACATGTGCCAGTGTCTCACCATCCTCATAGTGAAGAATGAAACTAGGGGAATATTAAAGAAATGCTATGAATATGCTAGAATAACTGTCACTGTCCATATCAATTAATAGCAGCCCTCAGTTTTGTCAATGTCCAGTTCAAAAAGTCCTATAGAGTATAAACTTCATGAAAGTCTAGTCTAAGGTTTAAAAAGAACACACAGAATCATAGAATCATAGAATAGTTAGGGTCAGAAAGGACCTTAATATCATCAAGTTCCAACTCCCCTGCCATGGGCAGGGACACCTTGCTCTAAACCATGTCACCCAAGGCCTTGTCCGACCTGGACTTGAACACTGCCAGGGATGGAGCATTCACAACCTCCCTGGGCAGCCTATTCCAGTGCCTCACCACCCTAACAGGAAAGAATTTCCTCCTTATATCCAAACTAAACTTCCCCTGTTTAAGTTTGAACCCATTACCCCTTGTCCTATCACTACAGTCCCTAATGAAGAGTCCCTCCCCAGCATCCCTATAGGCCCCCTTCAGATACTGGAAGGCTGCTATGAGGTCTCCACGCAGCCTTCTCTTCTCCAGGATGAACAGCCCCAACTTTCTCAGCCTATCTTCATATGGGAGGTGCTCCAGTCCCCTGATCATTCTCGTGGCCCTCCTCTGGACTTGTTCCAACAGACCCATGTCCTTTTTATGTTGAGGACACCAGAACTGCACACAGTACTCCAAGTGAGGTCTCACAAGAGCAGAGTAGAGGGGCAGGATCACCTCCTTCGACCTGCTGGTCACACTCCTTTTGACATATATCCCTATCATGAGAAATATACTGTTCAGATCTAAAGTAAATTGTCATTTGCTGTTCAAACAAAAGAAGACCAAATTCTGGCTGCTTCTGCAACAGTTTTGCTGCTCAAAATGCTGTGAATACAAATCATGGCTCTGCATAAGTGCAATACACCTATTTAAAGGCGAAGAAAATGCCTATATCTATACATAAAATTTCATTATAATAGATACAAATCACATGCACTTACATGCAGTTTTGTATTTGTATAGCTTGTGTTTATAGAACTGGCTAAATTGTGGAAAATATTAAATTAAAAATTCCTTTCAAATTCATTTAGAACATTTTACTTAGGCTAAAAAACAGTATTTAATTTCATTTCTTTTCTAGGCTAACAAACTTTCTATTGAAATCATAAAAAGAGGGCAATTTCCAAATCAAAATGCCATTTCAAAACCCAAATTTTAAGCTTTCAAAGTTACAAAATTAAATATGCTGACTTTCCATGGTTTTTTCTTTTTTTAATGCAAAAATCTTTGAGTATATGACATAAAAATTATTAGCTTCACTCATTCTAAAACAGCATTTTTGGGCTATTCACATAAAACAGTCATCAGTTTGATGTGCAGACTACCGCTCAGAACATAGTAATTGTTTCTTAGAAGCATCCAAAACTCTGGAGTGTTAGGATACTGTTTACCAGTGTATTTAGATTTTCTTACTATTCATGTGTCCTTAGGCAAAAAAATTGGGTATTCCATTTACAAACATACCCTAGCCATAAAATCAGAGCACTTGTATTTAAAGCAGCTAGGTGTGCCACAAAGCACCCCAGATAATACTGAGAAGTATAGCTAAATGAGATGAAGCAGATGCCTAAAGAAGTTCTCACCCTTTCTCTCAGCTACCAAATGCTGTTCCTACACTGCAGCTCACGTTCCATTAGTTACCTGAACACAATTGTGAGACAGCTCACTAAAGCGGATCACTCAACTGACCCAGTCTAAAAATAATTCTGTAACTATTTTCCTTGTTTTCCTTAATCCAAAGCAAGCAAAGTAAGGAAGATGTTATCTCTGCTAGGAAGGAAAGGTGGTGAAGATAGGCAAGATCTTTCATTAGACAAAGTGCTACTCTTAAGAAAAGCAGACAAGTTTTCAGGGACACAAATCTTTCTACAGGTCTGAAACAGACATGTAAAACTGAAGCTGACTACATTTTGGAGACAGTCTCTCTGAATTTGTCTCAGTTATTTGATAATATCAAGGAGAAGAGTAATGGAAATAAGCAGATTAGATAGGAAACAGCCAGAGGAGTGACAATAAAACAGAGTGGGGAGAGATAAAAGACAAGTGCTTCTGTTCAAAGAAGGAAGAATTTACTATGGAAGCTGTAGAAATGTGTGTATTGGTTTTGTATTTGTTGTTCTGACACAGTTTGGTTCCATAGTGATACATTCCATACTGTTTCTGATCATGAGTTTGGTGAGGCTGGAGTAAGACAGGAGCTATTTGGTGCCTTGCTGTAAATGAGTTGGAGAGATTTTCTTTCAAACTGTGACTTTGTGATAAGCAATCCAGTATAACTGGAAAGAAATTAATTAAGGCCAAAACACATCAGTCAAGAGTTTATCAGCTAAGCTGTAAAAACAATATACTCTCAGCCTTTAGTAAAACAACATGATTTACTGCCTGCTAAAATTAGTCAATTACCTTGTGTTTGTTGATACAAATGGGCACACCCGTAATTACCACCTTCCAGCAGACTTGGAGAAGTTTGTTCCTGGTCACGTTTCCAGCTCTTTACAAGAATCAAACACCTGTCCAGACACAGGCCCATAGACTAAAAATGAGTGAGACTAATGGCAAAAACACCGTTAATTATGTGATGTATGTCATTTACTTAGGGATAGTAACTTCAGTGCAAATTTTCACAGGAAAAAAGATCACGTATACATGCCTTCGTCAAAACTCCAGAAAAGTGCTGGCTCAATGGCATGATGACATGTGGGTTCCAGTTTAGGCTGCCAAATTCATGAGAGCTGATGTTTCAAATAAACAGAAGATCTCTTGTATTAGGAAAAAATATACTGGTTTAGTATGCTAGGCTAATTCAGGTAGGCTTTCATGGAATGCTGTGGAAATAATTGAATAGTCCTTGTTGAGAATATTGCTTGTGTTTGTTTGGCATACTAATTGCTCAACTGTTTATGCGCAACAGACAATATGTTCAGTGTTTTCAATATCTAAGAATCATGTTAAGAATAAACACTAATGACATACTTTGCAAGATACATAATCTGTTTGTTTACATGACTCAGCATGTCTAAAGGAGATTTTGATAATACAGTCCTGTGGTGGATATTGTTAACTTTCCAATAGGCAAATGGGTGGTCAGACAGTTAAATACTTGAAGAAGTTCCATATTTAATACCCCTAAGAGCTGTAATTTTCCAAATCCATTAGATATTACATCTGAGTTAAGGTACAACATAATCCAAGCAATATGATGGTCATAGAAATATCTTAGTTTGCTAACACATAGGGGAGCAGCTGGAAAAAAAATGGTATATTGTCAACATGAGCTTGTACTTGGTCCATGCAAAATAAAACCCTGGCAAATGTTAACAAAACATAAATCCCAAGTACTTCTGTAGTTGAAATTCTTTCTTGTGAATCTCTCACCCCCTACCAAAGCAAACAAACAAAAAAGCAAATACAATGCATTACTATTTTACTGAGCATTTCAAATTAACATTCCCTTTTTAGAATCTTAGCATTTTTACAGCTAGATAACATTACAAGCATGCTATATCACACCTTTCCACCTCCTTAATGTAATGATACCAGCCTATAAGCCAAAAACCCATATACAGAATCATCCCAGCCTACCTTAGCACTCAGAAAAATGAAAACAGCTGCCTAGCATTTCACTTAAACATAGTATCTCTCACAGCAGGAAAAAAAAATACGCTGTGTGTATTATTTCTTCACATCTATCTGAAAAGATGTAAAGAACAAATTTACTATTTGAATATATCGTATGTACTATGCTTTTATTAAAAGCTGATAAGGAATTAGGGATTGTTCAGTTAAACTCCTAGCAAAGTTTTGCTAACCAGGCTTTAAACACAGCTTTTTCACTTACATAAAAATATAATGCTAGCATAGCAATCAATGAAATTATAGTGTGAAATAGTGTGGAAGTACCCATAAAATTGAAATGGTTTGTCTTGTTCCTTGGGAAAAAGAAGTCTGTGGGAAAGCCCTCCAGCTTTGTTGTCAAGGAGTTTGGATTGCTTAGCAGCATGTCTACAGTGCTCTGGGCTTTGATGCAGCAATGCTATCCCTTGCAAAAACGCAGCCCATGTACTCAAGCTATGGGAAAGTAATGCCAGTATTACTTAAGATCTGCGCTTGTTCCTTGCTGAAGTTAATCTAATGTATTATCCTCTAGGAGAAAAGCCTCTTCAGTACCTAATGAACAATGGTGAGTTTTAAGAAAAAAATCTTAATTTTCAAATCAAGGCTGCAATTTTACCCTCTTTGTGAGAAAGAAGTCAGCTAGGCTATTTCTTCAGCTGCACTACAGGTCTGTATATAAATCATTATACAAAAGAACAAGATAGGAGTAATTACTAGGCAGAAAATGGGGAGGCTGCACCCATCCATACTCAGCACACAGAAGTTTCAAGTCCTCTCAAAAAAGAGTGTGTTTTCTTTTCCTCTCATTTCAGGAAGTTCAGTAATTGGCATGCTGTTGGTACCAGCTGTCATGTTAACTGGGGGTTTTAAAATTAGATGAGATGGGAAAAAACAACGGAGGCAAAGAAGATATCTTAAACTTGCAAGGAGATGTGGACTCTGTGATCTACCCAATGTTAATGATTGAAAGGACCTATAATTAACAGTGAGAGCACTGCAAAAGATTTGAATGTTCTATTGCTGCAAGACATGTCACAGACACCAAGTATTAATCATGACTTTTTAAATTCTTCCGTCCTCAGTGACCCATTCAAGTGTCACTGAGCAGGACATCTCTGAGGGTGTCCTCACCCTCATCGTGTGCTCAGTCTCTCACAGAAAGCACTGGCATGATTTCCTTCTTACAGCAATGTTCAATTTATTTTTCCAAGCTGCCTCTTCTCAGTTTGCAGTAACTGACAAGTCTTGCCCTGGGTAATTTTCTTCTCTGGATATGCACTCTCCAGGACAGTTTTCACTAGGAATATTTCCAAGGATGTGTCACCCTGAGTTTGTCATGCATTCAGATCTTAGGTAGCTATTAAAATCACACCACCACAACTGTTTCTTCCTGTATCTAATTAATTAACGTTGTGCAACCTACCAGACTCCTATCAAAAGAAAAGACACCCTGATCAACAACAAGGTAGTCATAAAGCTGCATCCTCTTCAGGACTATAAGAGGCTAATTAGAAGCAAGATGACCAATACTTTTAACTAAGCAAGGAGAAAAGGATTTGAACAATTAGTATGGCTAGAACACCAGTTTCAAACCCACATAGGCAAACTGGTAAAAGCCTCTCCATGAATACAAGTGAGTGATTGAAATCTGCCTCACAGAGGAAGATGTAAAATGCAAGATTGCCCTTCCCACAAAAGTGTTCTGTTTTAACAAATAAAGTCAGTTTTAAACTGCACTTTTCATTTAAAGGGTAGCTCTATCCACTGTTCGCCCACAATCAAACCAATGGGTTTTTTTCTATCCTTTATCCTTGGCGAACTGGTTTTCTTATCTGTGCTATGCAACTACCTATGTAGGACTGTTGTTTAACACAATATCAACGGAACTGTCAGAATTTGAAGTAAGGAATGGGAATGGCTTTTTTGGCTGATTCATTTCACTGATCCACTTACAGTCAGCCTCACATAGACTCCATCAGCACAACTGAAACAATTGAACAGCAGCACAGGAAGAAGTGCTTCCCCATTTAGATGAGAGCTGAAGAATAGAAAAAGAAGCTACTTTTCTAGTTGTCTGGCTCTAGGCTAATGAGAAAAGACCTTCAGTGGCACAAATGATAAAACATAGCTGTTTCCTCCTGCCCCTCCTCTGTTGTGCCAGTGAAACTCTGTGGGGTTACGCTGAGCAGCACAACAAAGTGCTGATCTGCACTAGGAATAATACCTTTACTCTGCTAGGGGTTTTAGCACCACCAGGAATGTTAGGCACTCCCATAATGATGGGTATCCGTCAACATCCCTGTCATGTCAAACCATGTCCTCATGGTGAATTTCTGTGTATCAATATACTTTAATGCAAACCATGGCTGGTCACATTTTAGCATAACTTTAATGTGCATTGCAAATAATCAGAAACTAATATTATGGTAAACATAGCTAACTGAGGAATGACATAATCTATCCACAAAACAAGCTTCTTGTCTCCGGCAGAAATGTCCAGTCTTCAGCTTCTTTGTTAAACTACTGGCACAAGTACTGATCACAAATGGGCTGTGGTAATGTCAGAGGTGGTAGTGAGCTTATTTAGCCTCTGTCCTTGAGAACCAGATTAAAGCTACATGTTCACTTTAAGCAGCATTGAGCAGATATAAGCTAGCCACAGCATTTTAATTATTAGTTTAAAATGTTGTGTGTTAACCTCAGAGTTTAATGCTTCCATCTTACTGACGATCTGCTACGACTCCAGGACAGAAAAAATCCTAGTTGCACATGCACACTTCTAATTCAGTTCAGTGCACTGCGGGTAGTTTGCTTCCCCTAATCAGACAGCCATCACTGTAATGGGAAAGAAATTAAGTTTGCTGAAGTATTACGAATTTAAATCATGTAGCTGGTCCATTGGTGATAGTCCCTAGAGGGCAAAGGTAGATCATCAGAGCTAGAAGGACAAGATCTACATGCAGAGTGTGTGCAGTTGAAATCCAGCAAGGGCTATCTGGCCAGCAGCCTGTGACATTATCTGGAATTTGCTATTGAAATGCAAAATTAATTATTTTCCAGGCAATGATAAGCTGATAGAGAATCACTCTATAAGCAAATCTAAATTTTATCTTTCCACTGATTATCTTTGTTTTAAAGCAGAAAAATCTCCATTTACTTTACAATCTTCATTTACTTTACAATCTCCATTTCCTATTTCTTACTCAGCTCTAATTTTTTCAAAGTCCTACAGCAAGTTCCAAATACAGCACTTCAGTATCTAAGCAGCAAGTCTTCCGCAGACCCTTTATTTTGTGACTTTTACACTGACACAGAAAGACAAAGGCTGACCTTCTTTCTCATGCTGAAACCCCAGTTTCATGATAGAGGGGGTTTTGGCAACAGAATTCTTTTCTACCCTCTCTGTCAGCCACTTGTTTTGCTCAGTACTGGATCTTTCTCCTACCCTACACTGAATTATACAATTATTTGCACAGGCTTTACAAAGGTGCACTAAGCTAAATGACTCCCTGAAACCATAAGCAGGAGGTCATGCTTCTGCTGTTTGCCTTCTACTAACTCTGGTACTAGCACAGACCTTCCTTCGAGCTAATTTGATGTGCTAAAAGGGCAGATTAAAAAAACAGGGTTGGATAGTTTTCTGCTGGTCCACCTAGTGAGCTAATAAATCAGCTCACAGAAGGGTCTGACGAATACTGAAGCTGTTGTCCAGAAGGAGGAGAGTGTCAGTGTGAAGCACAGATCAGCTCAGGAGGAAGTGCAAAACCTCCCACCTTTTACAGAAGTAAGTTGGTACCTTGTTGCGTCCCCTTTCTGCTTGCATTATTTTTAACCTTATCTGGTTCCCTGATCCAGTTCACAACCCCCAAACAGTTGTGTCAACAACTGATTGACAGCCTCAGTGTAAAATTTCTTCAGTTATTTTCTCTCGAAGGGCCATGTCTCTTCTGAGCAGTATTTTGCTTCAGATATGATAATTCAGATATTTATGATATAAATCAGCTTCATTTAAATAGATCATTTGTGAAGGTGTTGCCAGGGATGAAAGATGAGAATCTGGTGTGTTCAGCTTTTATCAAAGTTTTGTTAGTCCACTGCATTCTCCTTTCTATCAGAACAGGAAAAAATAACATCATTATGTATCATGGGCAGCTGTGGTATATTCCACAAACACTCCTGTCCTCAAGTTCATCTTTTCATTTATCAAGTTTAGTCTCTCCATAAACTAGAGATAAGCTTACATTCCTCATTAACACTAATAAAGTTTCACAGCTACTCGCTACACAGATATAAAAACTTTGTGCTAAAACTGCTCTGACAATTGAGTTTATCTCACAAATCATTCCAGAATAAAGCAAATCTGAACAGTAAAAGAAGACTTAACTTATCAATAAGCTGGCTCTTATAGTTGTTTAAATGCTACTTAGTTCAGGGATGCACTTCAGAAAAGCACTTTCAGCTATCAAGTTATATAGTTATAGACTGCATTTCATAAGTAGCAAGGTAAGCTTAAGAGTTGGTTGATCATCAAGGCTGCAGAAATATAATGGGTGCATTTATCTGACTAGGATCTTCTGTGACTGAGATTTCAGAAGAGGAAGCTTCAGCCAAAGTATTGTTGAGTTTGAGTGGCCACTCAAAATGCCTCAAAGGAAAATGCCTCAAAGACTAGCCGTCGGGACCCCAGCTGCAAAGTCTGTAAAACCTTTCTTTGCACTAAATTTATCAATGCTGTGGACTGGCTAGACAATGATCATAAATTCACACTGATATGTAGTTAACTATTAGAGTCTCATCTGTGACATTCATTCACCTGATTCCAAATGCAAAAAAGTGTTTCTTTGTTGCATTTTACCTCATTGATAAACCTTGCCCAATGTTAAGAGAAATTTCAGGTTAGTCTGGGAAACACATGGCACTTGCATTTCCCCTGGAGTGAAACCAGCCATCCTGAGGATCTTGGACCCAGTGGGCTCAGCAGAACCAAGTTCCTCTAGTCAGCACTTCCTAAACTGCTCATCCTTCACCAAGCTGCAACATGCTGATGCAGTAGCAACCAGATTTTTCTTCCTTCA